TGGTGAGCAGAGCTTATCTATTTTTTTTTCCTTACTCAGTGATTACCCTTCATGGACTTATAGGGCCTAGTACAGGGTACCACATATGATGGGTAAATGTGGTTAACACATAATTTGTTGACTGACTGAATGAATGAATGAATACATTTCCGTTCTTTTCTTTGTTCTTTAGTTCACTCATTCATCTTTCTTTGTGGTACTGTGGATTAAACCAGGGATACTGTACCTCTGGATACATCTCTAGCCCTTTTAATTTTTTGAGACAGGGTCTCACTGTGTTTCTGAGACTGGCCTTGAACTTGTGATCCTCCTGCCTCAGCCTCCCTGGTGGCTGGGATTACAAGCCTGTGCTGTTGTGCTTGGCTTTCGTTCATCTTTTGAAGTAACATCTTGAAAGCAGGTTCAATTCACAAACAAAATATCCTATAGTATTCTTTGTATGGACCATTGCTCTCCACTGGAATATTTCTTACCTTTTTTTTTTTTTTTTTGTAATATATATTAAAGGGTGAAATGGAAGGTTAAGAGTTAGAAGCGCATTTGATCTTTTCCTGACCCTCTCCTGACTTTTGTGTGACCTCAAGCATGTCACTTGAACCTCTCAGTGACCCCAGCTGTGAAACAGGGCTGCCTGGTGTCACAGAGGGATTGTGAAGAGCAGCAAATCACAGTCCTTGTCTACACAGAATCACCTGCAGGGCTCAGAGGCCTGCATAGAATGATGGGGGAGATTTGATTTCCCAAGTCAAGTGGTCAGTTGGACCCACACTTTGGATGTCTCTGGGAACAATCAGATGGGAGTCCTTGAAAATGTGTTACTTTTCTATTCCTATTCAGCGTTTCCAACGTTTATGTCTTTTTAAATGTTCTTGTTTTTAGGCAAAAAGGCTCATTGTAGTGTTTCCCTTTTCAGACTTAAAGGTGGGAAGAGATCATATATTTTTAAAAGAAGCTGAGATTGGAGAAGAATAAAAGTACCTTAAATTGTTATTTTATACTATGGAATTTAGATAATTTTCTGCTTCAAAGAGTACATCTTGAAAATTATGCTAATCATATTTTAAAGATAACTATTTGATAATGACCCATGTAACATATGAAATGTGGTTTTAACTAGCTTTTTGTTTGTTTGGTATAGGTAGGCAAGACAATTGCAAGCAAATAAGTAGAGCAGAAAACAAATAAAAATACTGTTAGCCATCTTACAAGCAGAACCTTTTTATACCATTAATTGTGTTCTATAAAATCTTTCAAATAGTAACGCTTAGAGGATTTAATTGATTTCCCAGTATTGTTTGTTTTCTAATTGGGAAAAAAATCCATCTAACAGGAAATTTCTTAGCATTGTATATAGCATGTGCTGATTATCATTCTTTGACTGCTTTGGGTTTCTGCTGCTTTTAAACTAGCATTTAAATGGACCATTTGATTAATCATTTGTATACTGACTATAATCCTCCCAAATTTCCTTTCTGAGTTGTACATACTGTAAAAGACAATTATGTCTCCACAGATTAAATAAGTGAATTAAAACAGAATAGCGGCTTAATTTGACCTGTGATTTTGCTCTCCTTCCCTTTAGTGGAGCGTGTGCCACTCCAGCAAATAAATGAAGTCATCCATGACAGCTCGTGATGAATTGCCGTATTTATACTGTATATTTTAATAGCCTCACACTAATTTAAATTGAACACAGAGTAAATTATAATTCAGTCACTTGACTGCTTGTATTTAACTTGACAACCCATCCCTATTTGTCCTGGAGGTGTAGTGGAGAGCCGTGGAAAAGCACTCAGGTATTTCAGTTCCCCACTTAACCCTTTCTCCATGAAATGCTTCATATTCTAGATTCTCTCCAGTTCAAAACATTTTAGTGCTTCTTAAGGAAAAAAAAACCATAAAAAATAAATAAATAAAAGCAATGAAGACTTGGCAGTCCAGACTTATTTCAAAAAGAAAATTAGCATTTGCTTTACTTTACCCCTGTTGCCTTCAAAGAATGAATTGGTCTCTCTCTCTCTTTTTTTTTTTTTTTAAGCAGCTTTAAAGCTCACTCACAAGAATGCCCAGGGGAAGGGGAATTAACCTTCCACCCAGAGTGCCAGGTCTCCCAGAAAATAGAGAGCATTTGAGTAGAGTTATTTTAGGGTAGTTTACTTTCCCTCTCAAGTTCCTAGAAATTACTTTATTCACTTTTCCACCATTATGGAATCTCTACTCTTCTGGATTAGAGCAAATACCAAGAATGATCAAGACCAATTAGAGCATAATGGATTAGCTCCACAAATATAGTATTCCTTTCTCCATTTTAGATCAGTGTAGCACTTTTGTTTTAGTGTTTATGTCTTTGCTTTCAAATTTAGGTGTAGAAATCAAGCAATCTATTTTCTTCATGTCTGGAAACAGCTTATATAGAGGATCATGGTTGTATGGAGCACTTTAATTAAATCCCACATCACTTAATGGGTACTTCTGTGAAGAAGTCCTTGTGCTGGGAGCTGAGGGGAGAGAAGTGCACCTCAGTCCTTGCCCTTGGAGGGTTTATGACCACTCTACAACCTCAAGGCTGCTTTGATTTCAGAAGATGAGCATTGAGGGCTAAAGCAGAATGTGAGAAGGAGAAACAGGATCAGAGTTAGAGAAGAAATCTGATGGAGGGCTTTGGAGTGGCTTCATGGAGGTGGTGAAGTGTTCAAGCTGAGTCTGAGAGATCAAATAGGTTTTTATAATTGTTGACTGTGGAGTGGAAAGAGGAAGCACAGGGGGAAAGGAGGAAGGGCAAAAAAATACCAGGCATGTGTGGATGATGAAAATCCATCAGGTTCCCACAGGGAGTGGGTTTGTGCTGGGAGTAGTGGAAGAAGGGGTTAGTATGGAAGAATTTCTGAAATGTCCTGCTAGATTTTAGCTTTGTTCTTAATTGGTGGACACAATATCTTTATTTTACATTTATGTGGTGCAGAGGATCAAACCCAGTGCCCCATGCATGATAGGCAAGCGCTCTTCCATTGAGCCACAACCCCAGCCTTGTTCTTAATTGGGATCAAGAACCCAACTAAAAGGGCTGAGGTTGTGGCTCAGCGGTAGAGCACTCGCCTAGCACCTTCGAGGCCCTGGGTTCAATCCTCAACACCACATAAAAATAAATAATAAAATAAAGATGTTGTGTCCAACTACAACTAAAAAATAAATATTAAAAAAAAGGAACCCAACTAAGGCTTTTGATCAAGGGAATGATATTGTCTTCTTAGTTTTGAGCTAATTTCAAGGTGTTGGAGAGCCACGTGGAATCCTCTCATCTCCAGGTTGATGGCCCAGGGATGCAGTACATCCTTACGCTCATATTTCTTAGCACTACATAAATGGCACTTTTGAAACCTTAAAGAAGTGTTTCTTAACCTTATTGTGGGTTAGAAATCAGCTAGGAGCTTTTTATAAATACGAAGATGAGGCCCGACGACCTATTGTTCTGGGATGAGGTCTGCGCATTGGGAATTTTTAAAAGTACCCTAGGTAATTATAATGTAAAGCCAGGGTCAATAATAACTATATTTCTTTTAGCTGAGTTTTTCAGGATAAAAGATGCCCTGTATTTGACAAGTGGTATTTTATGGCATAGAATTGAAACAACACTAGATGAATTTATTTTGTTGCTAAATTTTAGACTAGAACAAAAATGTAAGTGAATATTGTTGGCAAATGACTATTGATCGAGAGAAGTGTTTAAATGTGTCTTGGCAGTTTTGTATTACACTTACAATCTAGTTTAGTGAGAGCTTTTATAAATAACCCTAAAGCAAACTCTTGATAGAAACTGGAGATGCCTCCTTTTTTTTTTAACCTTCCCCTTCCTCAAATGGATATCACTACTAAAAATGTGTTTTAGAATTGCCCTTTTCTTTCTTTGCTCTGTCAGCAGTTTAAAAGTCTTAATTTATGTTTTTCCCCGGTATGATTATATATATTCATTTGTTATATAAAATGTAATTCAGTTTTGAATGGTGTTTAACTACATTATCATGATAATATGGACTGCTGTTTTTACCTACAAATGTCTAGAGTGAGAAACCACCACAATTCTTAAAACTTGTCTTTACCTGTTTTATCTCATCACTGTCATTTTAAGTAAAAAACAGTTTATCTTGAGTTGGTTTTACTGAAGTGCTGAGTAAATTTTGAACAGTTGATTGTTTTCTTCCTTTAAAAGTAAAAATTTTAAAAAATAAAATAAAAGTAAAAATTTGAAACAAACTAGAATCTGTCCTATGTAAGTTCATAGATTTTTTTCTACATTTCTGTGTTACAAGACCAACTCAGTGGTTGATATTGTTAGGAAAACCATGAAGTAACAGGAAGTCCAGGGAAGCACAGGAGAACAGAAGTCAGGGGTCCCAGCACTGCCCAACAGCAAGGCTCCCTGAAGAGAAGCCTTGGTTTCCTCCTCTCTTTTAGAAGGAAATCGGGTGAAATGAAGTTCCTTCAAGCTCTGATAGTCTCTAACAATATTTGTTTGCAAAAAAAAAAAAACAACATCAAATACCTGGGAGAAAATTTTAAAAAGACATATTTTAAAAACTTCTATTCATAACTAAAACCCTCATTTTAAATGTTATTTTTATTTAGTGTTCTGTTGCCTAGAATCTGAATTACATGACAATTCTTTTTTAATGGTTTGGGGGTCATTTGTATCTTCCTGTGAAAATAACCAATGTGGCCAAAATAGGGTGCATAAATTAAAAGTGCTATGACTTAACTGACTTTTAATGCCATTAATGCTGACCTTTGAGACCTGGCTTTTTCCTTGGTCCCATCAATCACTTCTGTACCACTTCTCCCAATACAAAGGCTTAAACAGATGTGTATACAGTGGGAGAGCTGAGGGGAATGAATAAAGGAACCACCATTTAAAAAAAAAATTTTTACATTTCAAAATGATTATAATTATATTCAATTTGAAGGTGGGGATAAATGTGTTAATGTTAATACCTTTCTATATTTAGGTAATACTACTAGATATTACGCTGGAACTTCAGAAGCAAATTATGTCTGAATTAGAAATTCTTTATAAGGTAATTTTTTTCCTGGTCATTTTTACTTACAAAACATATCTTATGGTGTTGGCTTGTAGGTTTTTCAACTTCTTTTTTGTCTTATTTTTGTTGCAGTGTGATTCATCATATATCATAGGATTTTATGGGGCATTTTTTGTAGAAAACAGGATTTCAATATGTACTGAATTCATGGATGGTAAGTATTTTCCCTTGTACAATATTTTAAAAATTACTTTAGGAGTAGAGTTTTATCATTAAATCCATTATTATTTAAATCCATTAGCCTCCTTCTCTCCAGTGCCTGGCAACCTAATTTTACTGCCTTGACAACTTTACCTATTCTGGGCGTTTTCACATAATGGAGTCGTACAATATATGGTCTTTGTATCTGGACTTTTTTCAGTTAATATAATGTTTTCAGAGTTTATGCACATTGAAGTTTTTACAATCTGATTTTGATACAGATGTCAAATACAACTTAAGGTGATTAAAATATACTAATAATTCCTTTCTTTATACTCTGAAAGCATCTTAGTGTTAAAGGTTCCTGGTGTTAAAGATTTATGGCTGAGTTATAATTTTAAGAATGTAACTTCATTTACTTTTATTGAAAATTTAAATAGAATAGATTAAATGCTAGTCTAATCAGTGGTTTGATATTTGATTCTTCTATGCAATCTGTCTTTACTTGCAAAACATATGTTCTGTTCTTTTAATGTTTCAGTAGCCAAAACAGATTTTCTTTTAAAGAAATCTATTAACCCAATGTCCTGTGTCTTTCAGAAAGAAATCGGTTCTTAATTGCAAGATAAGAAATTGTTTTTCAACACAGCTGTTTAGTCAGATGTGTTTGGTTTTCTTTGGACTTTAGTCCTTTCCTTCCTTCTGTATTTTTTTAATCATTTCTATTTTTGTAGCTTTCCTAATCTGAAAATTGTGACAAAATGAAGGTTTCCGGGTATCCTGACAATGAAATGAAGTCATCATTATTGTTGTTTATTCACTTTAAATCCAAGCAGTCTTTAAATTTCACATGTTCAGTTTTTTCCATGTCTAGCCACTAAAACGCAACATTTTAAATAAAGATGTACTTAGCTCCTTGTGGGAGTTCTCAATACATTACTAAACCAGGTAGTTCATGCCCCTATGCAAGACTTTTAATGAGTCAACACTGATACCTTGATATACTACAATAACTGTATAATGTGTGCTAAATTAGTTCTAGTAGATGTCAAGAATTTAAAATCTTAATAAAATATAGAAGTATGACAGTTGTGGAGATCAACTAGTAAAAGAGGATTCATATGCCAATATAGGTTACTGTTTAAATTTTCATCATTCTTCCTTTGAAGTCTTCAATTATTCAGTTACATTAAAACATTTTAATTAACATGTAATTCAAATATCATAAAACATTCACTCTTTTAAAGTATATAATTTTAGTGGTCTTTAGTATGTTGCTAAGGTTATGCAACCATCATCTAATTTCAAAACACTTTTTAAGTATTCCCAGAAAGAAAATCCCTACCCTTTATAAGTCCCTCATTAGCCTCCTTCCCTCCAGTGCCTGTCAACCTGATTTTACTGCCTTGACAACTTTACCTATTCGGGAAGTTTTCACATAATGGAGTCCTACAATATATGGTCTTTGCATCTGGACTTCTTTCATTTAATATAATGTTTTCAGAGTTCATGCACATTGAAGCATGTACCAGTATTTCATTGAATAATATTTTATTGCATGGCTATACAACATTTTGTTTATTGTTTTATGAATTGATAATCATTTGGAATATTTTCACTTTTGCCTAATAATAGATACTACTACTGTGTATTTGTATATGGGTTGTTTTGTGTATGTATATTGAATCAGTTCTCTTGAATTTATATCCTGGTGTAGAATTGCTAGGTTATATGATAAGCCTCTTCAAAGTTTTGAGGAACTGTCAAACTGTTTTGTTCCATTTATACTAGTTTATATCCACACCAACAATGTATGAAGATTCTGATTTCTCTATATCATTGCCAACTTGTTGCTTTAGATGTCCTATTTAAGAAGCCTTTGTATAATCCCACATCACAAAAATTTATACCTATTTTCTTCTAACCCATTTTATAATTTTAGCTTTTAATATTTATGGTTTTGGTCCACTTTTGAGTTAACTTTTACATACAGTGTGAGATAGGAGTCCAAACTCATTCCTTTGCCTGTCAATATCCATTTATATTAGAACATTTGTTGACTATTTTCCCCTTTAATTTTCATGCCAACCTAGTTGAAAATTAATTGACTCATAAAATGTATTTCTGTACTTTCAGTTCTATTCCATTGATCTTTTTGTCTATCTTTATGCTAGTACCACATTCAATCTAGAGTGCTTGATTACTCTAGATTGCTATTGTTTTATAATAAGTTTTGAAATTGAGAAGTGTAAATCCATATGAATTTTAGAACCATCATTCATTTCTCTAAAAAAGCCATCTGAGATTTTGGTGGGGATTGTACTGAATTTGTAGATCATTTTGTGCAGTATTACTGTGTTAAAAATATAAAGTGTTCCATTCCATGAATATAGAATGTCTTTCCACTTATTTGGATCTCAATTTTTTCAGTAATGTATATTAATATTAAGTGTAAAGTTTTGCAATTAGTTGTTAAATTTACTCCTAATATTTTATTTTAAAATATTTTTTTATGATCATGATCACGTGGCTGACTGAGAGCTGTAGCTCTCTGCTCCTGGCCAATTTTGCAAGAGTATATTTTACTATATATTCCTTGTCTGGAAAAAGATCAAAATTATAGGTACAGTTTTTACTAAATGTGTATTATTTTTGCACCATCATTTATTTTATTTTTAATTTTTTTTTGTTGTAGATGGACACGACATCTTTATTTTATTTATTTATTTATTTTTATGTCATGCTGAGGATCGAACCCAGTGCCTCACACATACCAGTCAAGAGCTCTACCACTGAGCCACAACCCCAGCCTCCTAGTATTTTTTTTTTAATGATACTGTAACTTGAATTATTTTCTTAATTTTACTTTTGGATTGTTCATTGCTAGTGTATAGAAATATAATTGGTTTTTGTTTATTGTTATTGGTCTGTATCCTGTAACTTTGCTGAACTTGTTTATCAATTTTAGTATTAGTTTGTGTGTGTGTGTGTGTGTGTGTTTGTGTCTTTCTTAAAGAGTTTTCTATATACATATCATACCATCTGAAAATAGAGGAAGTTTTACTTCTTTCTTCCTTTTCAATTTAGAGGCTTTTTATTTTACTTACTTTTCTTGCTTAATTACCCTGGCTAGAATAGAAATAATGAGAGCAGACATCCTTTTTCTTGCACCTGATTTTGGAGGGAAAGCCTTCAGTCATTCTCCGGGAAGCATGATATTTACTGTGGGGTTTTAGTAGTTATACTTTATCAGTTTGAGAAAATTCCCTCCTATTTCTATTTTGTTGAGTGGTTTTTTTTTTATCATGAAAAGATATTAAACATTGTCACGTTTCTCTGTCTTTTGAAATTATTATGTGGTTTTGGTCCTTTCTTCTATTAACATGGCATATTTTGTTAATTGATTTGCTCATGATAAACCAACATTGGAATCCTGGCAATATTCTATGTGGTTATGATATAGATTCTTTTCATATATTTCTAATTTCAGTTTGTTAATATTTTATTGATGAGAAATTATACAGGTGTGTGTGTGTGTGTGTGTGTGTATGAAATGTTGAGATTAAACCCAGAGTTTTGTGCATGTTAACCACATACATTGTTGAGGATATTTACATCCTTGTTCAAAAGGGATATTGATCTATAGTTTTCTTATAATGTCATTGTTCAGTTTTTATATTAGAATAACACTTCAATTAAGTTATCTAATTTGTCAGTGTACAGTTGTTTCTAATATTCCCATATAGTACTTTTTATTTCTGGAAAATTGGTAGTCATGTTCTCTTCTTTATTCCAGATTGTAATAGGTTGAAGTAATTTGAGTCTTCTCTCTTCTTGGTCAGTGTTACCAAAATATTCTCAGTTTCTTTTTCAAGGAACACATTTTGGCTTTATTGACATTCTCTAGTCCTTTTTTCTGTTTTGTTGGATTTTGCTATTCTTTTTGTTTTCTTTTTCAGTAGAAAGTTAAGATATTGCTTTTAAATCTTTCTTACAAACAAAAGCATTTATAGCTATAAATTTTCCTCTAAGCACTGCTTTAACTGCATTCTAGAAATTTTGGTATTTTGTATTTCTGATTGCCTTAGGGATTATAATTAACATTTTATAACAATTCAGTTCAGATTATTATCAACTCCATTTCAGTGGTACAGATGTTCTTCATCTTATGATAAGTTTACGCCCCATCATAAATTGAAAATATCATAAAAAGGCATTTCATAAACCTAATATACTGAATGTCGTAACTTAGAAACATGGTAAATGTATCAATTGTTTGCCCTCATGATCACGTGGCTTACTAGGAGCTGTAGCTCTCTGCTTTTGCCCAATTTTGCAAGAGCATATTTTACTACATATTCCTTATCTGGAAAAAGATCAAAATTACAGGTACAGTTTTACTAAATGTGTATTATTTTTGCACCATCATAAAGCTAAAATATTGAAAGGTGAACAATTATAAATCAGGGGCAATCTCTATACAAAAATTTTGATCCTATAGAGTTCAATTTCTTTCCCTCTCTTTTGTGCTGTCATTGCTTTATAAATTACATTCTTATTCATTGTGTGTCTCACACAGATTTATAATTATTGCTTTATGATTTTGTCTTTTTAATCTGGTAGGAGGAAAAATGATAGAAGCAAAAAAATACATTTATCTTTTGTACTTACCTATTTAGACCTATATCAATATTCATTATTTCTTCATATGAATTTGGTTATTATCTTATAACTTCAATCTTATATTCCTTCAGTAGTAGAGGATAGGAAAGGCAGCAGAACACAACAGACACTAGTATGGCAATATGTAATTCAATGGATGTGTAACTGATGTGATTCTGCAATCTGTATATGGGGTAAAAATGGGAGCTCATAACCCACTTGAATCAAAGTGTGAAATATGATATATCAAGAACTATGTAATGTTTTGAACAACCAACAATAAAAAATTTTAAAAAAAGAGTCCATTTTAACTCTTTTAAGATAGGCCAGCTAGTGATTTATTTTTTCAAT